GTAGACAATAATGCCCTATTCATGAACTAATAAAGCTTTATAGATTCTCCAGTACTATATCTTAGCATTTTAATTATAAAGTTCAATGAGAAATACATTGAAATAAACAGAAGTGTTTTTGACCAGCTATTAGGCATTTATATATACCTTTTAGTGTATCATAAAAGTGGTAATTTGGAAAATAATAAAAATAAAAAGAGAACTTAAACTTAATTTAAATAGATCAGAAAGCTTTGAATAATCTTGATTGTCATAATAACTTTCGGGATATTGGCTGGTTAATGTTTTATATAAAATAATATTAAGATTTTACGATAAAATTTAACATTTATATCGGTCATAAAATGCACACTAATTGCCATAATCGGATCTGTACACGAGTATATATCCAAAATAATTTACATGATGTTTTGAAACTAAGAATAGTGTAACATAAATTACAAGACTATCTTTCAGAGATAATGATATACTGTTAGTTGTTCAAGTGTATTTGCTACACAAAATCTATGGGTCTCTCAACAACTTGAATGTAAGGTATATTCAATCTGAATTATCTAAAAAGATGATAAAATCCTAATGTGGACTTGATGAATGATAAATCCGAAGAAAATTGTATTGCATGTACTTCATATAACATTTGAACGGTAACAAATGTATGGAGAAAGTCAATTAAATTTCATATATTATACTCCATAGAGGAAAATCCGCAAACATCATTTTAACAAAATAAAAAAAATCAGGAATATGAAACTTATTAGACGAATATTTAGTTGACTTACCAGTTCACATTCCAGCTGCCGTCTGAATTTTCTTTTACTTTTCTCAGCCTTCGACTGAAGATCGCCTAACTGTTTCTTATGAGATTTAACCAATACTCTGTAATTCCTATGAAAGTTTTCATTTAAATCCTGAACACCATGTAACAAAAAATAGACGGAATTACTTTTTCTTCATTCTTATAATCTTGTAATATATTCTGCCTCCTTTGCTTACATAACTTTTGAAAATTTTGAATGTCTCGAGTTATTTCCTTTTCGTATAGCATTATCCGTTAGCAATGAGACAATTCATAATTGTGCGATAATCAACTGCTTTTATTTGGACTTGAAAAAGAAAATGTACAGTACAAAATGAATTAATAGTATTTTAATTACATTTACTTCACCGACATAAATTGTTTGTTTTTGTTTTACTAAATCACGCTAATTTATTTCAAGGTCAGTTTGCATTTAAATTGGAATTGCTTGTGGCCCTTTGCTGCCGCATTTGTATATAGAATATTTGCCATAGTTTCATATAATTGAAACATTCCAATTTACAAGTATGTATTGGATTCATTCTAGCTAACTGTCATGTATTATTTTCTGTTCTGTGACGTTCTCATTTTGTAACCTAATTCATTTCCTAGCGAAATAGCGTTTCAAAAATTGTAAGACCGTCCTTGTTTACTTTCCAAGCTGTTTACGTCCTCATCCTTCTGATGCCAAAGTGCTTTTAAGGTTCTAGTAAAGTCATGCTGATTGAAGGGGAATTTCGTGTTTCTTATCCATCGATTTACAGGACAGTGTATATAAATATGTTAGGAATGATCTTATCCTTCTTGCAGTCGCTTGTTCGTGCATGTACTTTCACTCTATACCGGTTCTTTCCTTTGGTCTTAAGTCCTTGTGCTCCCATTATGGCAACTGGTCAGTATCACTAGTCTCTGAAAATGTGGGTCTTAGTTTCACCAACTCTAGTTAAGGTATTTGCGTCTCCAAGCACGCCTGAAACTAACATTCATAGGTGTCATATGCCGATTCAGTGTCTTGAAGTGTGCGCTACAGGGTTTTAATGTATTCTAAAGGCTTAGGTGATGGTTGTGAGCAGTCGTAGTTATTAAAACGAAAAGTGATGGAAGACTTATCAGTGATGGGTTACTGTAAACAACTGTCCAGACTCATCAGCGAGACAAGTATTAGAAATCTGACCGTTAGTGAGACTAATTTTGAGTAAAGATATCATTATTCACTCAGTCCAGGAGACGAAACATATAGGTAAAGCAATCTTAGCGGCTGTTCAATTGTAAATCCATCTGATTTGCCTCGATCTCTGACGATCTAAGTCCGTAAAAACCACCGAAAAATCAGTTCGACCAATAGTGTGTAAAATACTGGCCTCTATTATAACCCGTCGATTGGTTAGAGCTTGTGAAGAGCAAACTCAGGGACACCAAGCTGGTTTCAGAACTGAACGTGGATGTGTAAACCAGATGTCCACTCTTCGTCAAGTTTTAGGGCATTGCCATACTTTTGGCTTTCGACTGTAATTGTATTCCTTAATCTTAAGACAGCGTTTAACTCGGTTGATCACGAGGTTATGTGACTAGATCTGTTATTACAAGGGATACTGATGTACATCAATCTTGTACAAGCTCTCTGCTTGAACACTAATAATCAATTCAAAGCTTATGGTGATCTCTTTTCAGAATTTTCAATCTCAGGTTGTGTTCGTCAGGACTGTCCACTTTCCCTATTTTTATTTAACTTCGTCATAAACTTCTTTTAGAGATGACGCTCTCTTCGTCTAACTTTCAAAGGTTGATCTACCGAGAGATTTTCTACTAGACCTAAAATACGCAGATGACGTATTTATGTTTGGTGGAGATGCTGAAAAAAAATACAGTCTTCTGACCACTTAAAACAACAATGCAAGCATGGCTGGGATGCATTTCTCCCTCTCAATGTAAAATGTTGCTTCAGAACTGCCCTTTGTCGACGCCTAAATTAATAATAATAATGTGGTTGAGTGTTCCAACCATCTTACTCACCTCAGTATTCTCGGCCCTGATGAGCTGGTTTTGATTGTATCCGGTTGACCTTTACAAATCTGGGTCATTTGTGATGTAAGCCAGATATCCTTTCGCCAACAAACGGACGAGTTAACTGGGTAGCATTTCGCTCGTTATTTGTTGAGTGTGAAGCATACCCGTTGGAAATAAAGGATATTCGTAAGTTACTGGTATTCAATCATCGAATGAGCAATGCTGGAGTTAGGCATAGGGTACTTGGTAAATATGCTAAGTCGGCCGATAGGGCTGTAATATTTTGTTCATTGAAATGGTTGGGGTATATATTACTTGTGTCCAACCATCACGTATCTCACTGATCGATGTTGACTAGTAAATAGAAAGGCTGGAACGAATCCTGTGCAGTTTTTTCCCTCTTTTACTAGACCCTATCTTCTTTGCTACTACTGATACTTTTTCTACCTCTATTCACTCGGGATTTGTCTGGATTGTTTTTTCCTCACTGTGCTAATGAGTTGTGACTATTTGAGGTGGCGCATAAGTATCAGGCTCTGCGTTGCATATGACAAGCTGACTCAATCTTCGGCTCAATAGCTGAAAGTTATGTGCTTCACTCACCACCGCTAGACTATCTGCTCATAAGTAGCACAATAACAATGAGGCCAGTAGTAGTAATTTTTTGTGAAGGCTGTGATACTGACAGGGTGCCCAAGCGGAAGTAGGTGTTTTTCTTAGGGGGCAACTCCCCGAGCCATTGACCTGAAGGTCTAATCCACAGGGCAGTGGATCAACTTTAGGAGATTCACTCCAATGGTGGTTGTTGACCAACAATAGATTCGTAAGTCATTTGTTCCTTCGCGATTATGGAGTCCATGTGCACCATTTGCTTCAGGACTGGTCTGTGTCAACACTTGAACTAAGGATAGGGAGTGAAGTAGTCGAACGCGTTGACAACTTCACTTATCTTGTAAGTCTGATCAGCCCTAACGGGTTGGTGTTTGACGAAATCTCAGCACGGATTCGAAAAGCTCGCTTGGCTTTTGCCAAATTACGTCACCTATGGCGAAGGCGAAATATCCGTCTATCAATAAAAGGACGAGTATACTGCGCGGCAGTCCGTTCTGTTCTACTTTACGACAGCGAAACATGGCTATTAAGAGTAGAAGACACCCGTAAGCTACTAGTATTTGACCACAGATGCCTTAGAAATATTGCTGGCGTCTGCTGGGATCACCGGGTAAGTAATAGTGAGGTTAGACGCAGGGTATTAGGGAATGATGGTAAATCAGTCGATGAGGTTGTGCATCTTCATCGACTGAGATGGTTAGGCCACGTGTTACGTATGCCCGAACACCGATTACCACGACGTGCAATGCTAACCGGTGTTGGAGATGGTTGGAAGAAGGTTAGGGCGGCCAAACCAAAACGTGGCATCAAGTGCTTGAAGTCACTAACTTGTAGTCTGAGCCATGTTGGTAGATGCAGACTACTTGTTTGGGGTCCACGTGACTATCGTAACCAATGGTTGGAGACTCTCGGTGACAAGGCTCAGAATCGATCACAATGGCGTCGGTGTATACACTCTCTATCTTCCCTTAAACTAAGAGATTAAAGTCGCTTCATATCTTTCTTCCTACGAACTAATTCTTTCTTCCTGTACTATATCCTTATATGCAAACTTTCTTTTCTATATTACCACCTCTGAATTAACTACTTTTATGAATCCGGTGTTCATCTTGTTGTGTTAATGAGGTATGACAACTTGGACCGATGCATATATGTGCCTGGCCCTACGTTGTAGCTGACTGACTGACTGATTTGTTTCTAACCAGGGTTTTCCGACTTCCCTAGATGGATCCTCTATATCCATTAACCTGGTGAAGGCAAAAGAAATTCGCTTCCATCCTCTAAATTTCGTGAAGAACACGTCCGCCGCGAGAAGACAGTGAGTAAGGCTTTCTTGTCATTGGTTGTATATGCGCGGCCATGTGAGAGCATTTTGAGAGGGAGAGCTAACTTTGTTCACTCTTGGCTGTACCAGGGCACTTGGGGGCATTTATAGCTCTTTCTAGCTGATATTACGAATTTGCGTTTCATAAATATAATAAACTCTCCTGTTGAGTTTATTCTCTGTTGTTATTCATATATGTCTCTTTATCATATTCAGATTTGTTAATAATGTTAATGTTCAATCTTCTTTTGTTATAGATATATGATGAATTCAGTTAAAGTCAGTTCCCAATCATATGCATTGAAATGGGAAGATTTCTCCTCTCTTGAAAACTCCTATTCTAAGAAACATTGTTTACACTCATGTAATAGTTCATCACCTGGTCTACGACAAACCCAATTAAATTTCTCACCAAATCACCAAACGAAACTGTCTAAACAATTTGAAAATGTTATAGATGGTATCGAACTTGATAACACTAATCGGATTACTAATCAAAATGCTTCTTTGAAATCAAATGAACGTAATTCATATCCTCAAACTTCCATTAAACTTGAACCACCGTCAATCTCAACTGCTGAGTCTTCGAACAAATCTCCAAAGTCCATCATTACTAGCCCCACGCGAATAATGAAACAGGCTATCATAACTGAAACAGGGATTTCACCGGCGGAAAATGTATTCAAAAAACCGATCAGAAAGAAGAAAGCTGGCACTATTAAAAAGTGGGTGTTTTTTACATCTCATATTTTTAAGTATATGATTACTCCTAAATTATGTCATCTGTGAAGTAGATGACGTTCAGATTGAGTGCATAGCACAACAGTCTCCACTGCTCTAATAATAAGGAACATTAGGAAAATTGCAAATACTTGATTATAACCATGAATTAGACTAATGTTCAGCATTCATTTTTCGATGTAAGTTGTAAGTTGATTTATGTGACCACAAACTTTCGTCATCCAAAGTGATTGGAAAGCGTTTTATTCACCCCTACCTCACCACCTTCTTTGATGTACAATCTTTAGTTGGCGAAGAGTTTACGTTGATAAAAAAGGGATCATATGTAAGTTGTGAGTTGAAACAGTAGTGATTAATTTGAGAGATATGTCTATAGCTTAATTCTACGTTTTCATTTATTAGTAGCTAATAAAAATATTATTCACTATGTCCGAAATCAACTCCACCTATTTCAGTTTGGGTAACAAGGTAGTGTCACTACCCCTTCACATAAACAATATGACTCAAATCTAAACGCGTATGCATGTCGCTTGTGAGACAATTACTCACCAATAGTATTTAAAAGTAGTTACTAAACACTGCGGGTTTATTGAAGTTACACGTGTAAACCATCGGTTGTCTGTTTAGTGCTCCAAAGGTTGGGTACTGGCCACAAGGAATGAAGGCTCTGCGTTTGACTCCCGGTAGGGTGATGTATGGACGCTGCTGAGGAGTCTTATATCAAAACCGAACGGCTGTCCACTCTTTACTGTTTCTCAATGGTTGTCTAACCGGAGTCGACCTCGAATGTAAACCGTTAAACATGAACATGTGCTTAATAAACAAGTTATCAGTAAAAGGGTGTCTGGTTACGCAGTTAAGTAATCTCCGCACAATTAAAGTTATCTCATCCTACCAACGATCATCATCATTACTATTTTGTACTAGGATTTCTAAAATGTCACATATCGCATTTTATTTATCAAAGTTTCTCGGTTTAACCATCATGGCTTAGGGGGCTTATACTAACTTTGGCTTGACTAATATCAGTCCCTCGTTTTTACAAAACTTTTGGCAAAATTTATACTTTTCATCATCTCTACGTAATCAAGAACTGTATGTTACATGTAGTGCAAGTGTATGGCATTCCCACGTTACCGCACTTCATGTCAGTGAAACGGAAGAAAATTAATGAGACGAGAAGTAGTATAAAATAATGGAAACATGAATATAAAAATTGTAGTTCAAAACGGAATCAATAGTATTGATATATAGAAAGTCGGAAATGATGGAGAGTGAATACGGCTATCATTGTGACCAATTTCCAATCATGTCATCCACTTTCTTCACTCATGAATTACAAGTATTCCATGGGCTTCAACCAGGAAATTATAATTATCCAGATAGTGATAATCTAGATCCATTGACCTAATGAGACAATAAAAAAGCTATACTCTAATCGCTGTTGTTCGTCGATCTGAGTTCATAAAATATTTCGTTTAATGATGATCTGTGATTATTTTATTATAAAAGTGCGTGAGTGCATCTATACAATTAACAAACATAGTTAATCATTTTAAACAAATCGAAGACAAAAATATTTCAATGGTTGAGATTATGAGTCAATTGAAGCTAGACCACCATCGAAACCCCGGAACCACTTGTCGGTCGTTTCGTCCAATTGTGGGACATCTGAGCAGTACGCATCCATGATCCCGCCTTGCGAGATTCAAACCCTGGACCCATGAGTCTCGCACGTGAACGCTTACTATGATATCCACAAAAACCCCTTCTGATACAAAAATATTTCTTTGAATATTGATGCGATTGAACAAAAAGATAGTTTATAACTTCCAGTAGTATGTTAACTTAAGTAGCTTGAATGTAATACACACTTTTTAAAAAAAATTAACCTTGAAGGTAACTAAGTCTACCCATATTCCATGAAAGTACTTGAAAAATGTAACGAAACATATTTTTACTACTTTTTATTTATTCAGTAGTCATAATCAGTTAGTCTCATTATGCAATTGATCATCGTTTTCAATAATATTCATATAATTTGTTGTCCTTAATATTAGATCACAAGTGAAACGTTCTCGTAGCGTAGATTCACCTCATATCAATAGTACCACTAATAATGATATAAATCAAAATGATTCTGTCAAATTATCAACTTCTAATTCTTGTCAGACAAGAACAACAACAACAACCACACGCGTTTGTAAATCAACAACGGTCAGTCCAAAAAAGAATTTACACGTAGCAAGTGATGTATATGCTGCTACACAGAATAAACAAAACAAATGTAAAACACAATTACAAACACAACTTACATCATATGGAATTAGAAAAACCGCTCGACAATATGCTAAAGAAATTGAGGTAATATATTTCACTATTAAAACTTCCTTTTCTTCAGCATGATATTCAATGGTGGTTGCTTCATTTTTAGGCTAAGTGAATTCGGGTAGATATACTAATCAACTGTCTAAACCGTTCTATCAAATAGAAACCGGTTGCAGCTTGTAAACCCGATGATTGAGTGGAACCATTAAAGGGACTCCAACTACAAAATTCTTATACCATCTGATACAACTTGAATCAATAGTCACTGACTTGATTTACTTGCCCCTAGCCTTTTTCCAAACTACCTTGGTGCTGTAAACTATTGTTCATCAGGTTAAAGAGTAATACATATCCCAGTCGCCTTAGTCTATGAAGGTTTAATTGATTTACCTTTTTACACACTATCCTATACCTCAATATCAGGGCTATTAACTTGGTAGTTCCACCATGTATGAGCAGCCATTTGAATCCACCTATAATTAAGTAATCGCAATCGTATTGTGTCTTCTGCCTTTATAGGACATAGTTCAAAGCCCGAAAGTAATACGGAGAGATTTACTTGTACATCGATAGATAGACAATTCTCAAGTGACTCTGTTGGCTTTTTATATCGTTATTAAAGTTTTAACCAGTTGCAGACTGAAGAGATACAACCTTAAGAAATTTTTACAAAATTGGTGAAATGGCAAACATCTTTCACTGATATTTCTACTTAATACATTTCAGTAACTAAAATTCGTATATTTTAGACTCCATAGCCCAGCCGTTGTTGCTACCTTGAAGTGGTGGCCGGGCTTGCCCATTGTGATGAACCAGTCGAGCTATACTGGATGGAACAATCGTTCCTCAAGGTCCTACCATGCCAGACAGGTCGGTTAAAGAGCGGTAAGACCAAAAGCAACAAACCCAAGGTCCAAAGGTAAAGTCGTACTGCTGAATGCACAGAAGTGTGACAGCAGTAAGGTGTTTTCTTCAGACAGCCAGCATAACAGCGATGCTACCTTCTCACATGGAGGGCTGGGGTTAGAGAAGGTCGACCCTCAAAATGCACACCTCACCTTATCCCATGGATATCCATCTCCGGCAATAAGTTCTCAACAAGAACGGAGTTTTTTAATAAACGGAATACACCCATTATGACATTAAATAAGAAAGAAAGATTAGTTCAGCGAAGAGTTCTCTTTTCGCCGAAAAGAGAACTCTTCGCTGAACTAATCTTTCTTTCTTATTTAAGAACGGAGTTAACACAAAAATTAATCACAAAAATGGTCATGTGTAACTGATCTCAAGCAGTTGTCCCTTTGATACTCCAGTCACTCTCTCAGGTCACTAAGACCACCTCTGACCCAATTTCCTTTTCAGGTACTTCCAGAAGATCCCTTCCACGGTGTGGGCAACCGGGAAGTGATAACCACCCTCATACCTCTAACAGCACCCAAGACTGATTGGGGCTTCACAGTTGTTGATGAATCACAATTATTGTTGAGTATACTGGCAAGACTATAATTTATGGACGAAATTTGAGTAATGCTACATCGACCCTGATAATGTCCATTAACTTACTAGGTTATAAGTAAGTGTGAGGAATCAGGATTAGGATTTACAGTCGTACACTAGAATTAGGAGTTAAATTTTCATCACGAACTGACATCAGCTATAATGCTAAAATGTTATTTACCTAAATCCGAACCTTGTTATCTTAGATCTGATTGGTTTGTCCACAAATTATAGTCTCGCCATGCGTTTCCTGAGCTTGATAATTCCATTTGTGAAGCTTTTATTGTCCTTTTGAAACACATCGTTGGTGTTATAATCCAAATAGAAGTTCATATCCAACTCATTTTATTTATTTATTTAAACATAAACATTGGTACAAAGAGGCACCAAATAGATATGCGCCACATAAATCATTCGATTTGTGTGAGGGCTGGGATACTGACCGGGTGCCCAGACCGAAGCAGGTGGTTATCTTAGGGGGCCACACCCAGAGCCTTCGACCAGAAAGTCTAACCCACAAGGCAATGGAGCATCGTGAGGAGATGCAGTCCCATGGTAGCCGGTGACCAACAATTGGTTCACACGCCATTTGTTCCCGCAGGATACTGGAGCCCATGTGCACCATTAGTTTGGAATCCGGTTAAAGCGCCGGACATTCGCTTTTCGTCCTCTCGTTTTCGTAAACAACACCCCCGCCACGAGAAGGCAGTGAGTAGGACTTCTCTGGCAGAGGCTGTATACGCGTGGCCGTGTGAGAGCATTTCGAGGGGGAGGGCGGGACGACCCCACTCTCGGCCATACCAAGGCATTTGGGGGCATAAGTGTAGTGTCAGGAGTGGGATTCGAACCCACGCCCACAGTATACAACTCATAGTGTGAAATATCTAAGTAGAGCTTCAACTTATTGTTTAAAAAAACTGAAATATTAATTTCGTAAACTTCCAAATTTCTTCATTCTTATTTGTTTTTCATTTTTAGCGTGAACGTGAAAACAATTTTTTAAATGCTTTAAAAAACAATATTGAAAGTGGTATGAAAGTAAGTGTAATAAATTATGCTGTGGTGTGGCAACTCGAACTGATGTACGTACGTACGAAGTTCTACGTTGTTACTGACTGACTGAAATTATGTTGTTATTTGGCTCTTTGTCTCTCTTTCTCTTTATGTACATGTCAGTTAGTCATAATGAACTCAGAGTATGGGACAAATATGTGTTTGTCCGATTTTCGTATACCATTTTATCACAACGAGATTGAATAAACTGGGTAAATCCAAATGATTTTCATCCCAATTATGATGAGAAAGACTAAAGATATAGAATATGGTTTGATAAGATGTAATGAAAAGGTATTTTTTGAAAGAACACTGGAATTTGAAATATTGAGGGAAAATTAAATGTGAATAAATCTGGACCATTATGACCTATTCTAAGCGTTCTTACTCAACCTTTCCAAACAATGATAGTGATTATCACATGAACCTCAACCAAGTACCTTTTATCTATCAATATGGCTCAGTTCAACTATTAATGACTTCATAGATTAATGTCCAGTTTTGTTTTCGTCGCCTTTCTGACTTCCTTCTGATACACTCTTAGCTCAGCCGTAATTGCATGTATATGTGTTTGTATCTGATTAACACCAATTGATTTCAATATATATAACTAGATAACTATTTCAATTACTTTTTTTTACGGTAGTTTTTCTATTTAAATCACTGCAAGCTTTTGTTGTGCGGGACCGTTAGATAATGTTTTCTTTTGAACAAATAAATATCGGATTGATAATGAACATAGAAACGTTCAAGAAAATGTCATAAACTGTTTCATTCATATTCTGTAATCTGATAGATGTTAAGAGTATATCCAATCACTTAGCAACAGTACATACGGCATGCAATATTCATTTATTTAGACTAGTGGTTACATTATAGTTTTCGTTACCATTGTGATAAATCAGTATACCAACTTATACTACTTTTTTGGCCTGGGATTTGACTCCACTTGGATTGTACGAATGATCGTTATTGTGAAATATACATTCTGATTATTCTCGTATATAATTATCGACTTAGATCACGTTAGTGAATAACGGAATTAAATAATTCAAATATGAGAAGGGATGTTTTGAATTCGTATATTTTGTACACATTGATCTGGATAGACGATCAGAGAGACGAAGAGAAGAGAGCGAAGCGAAATGACGTGTAGTGGAGAACGGACGTGAGCTAACTCGGCTTAATCAAGCGTTAATCGACATTTATAGTCACGCAAAAATAAGTTAGACACGTGATGAATATGGTAAGAAGTTTAACCATAGATATGCTCATGTAAAAACAGTAAAGGTTGATAAGCGAATAATTAACAAGGTTGACATGTGACTCAAGAAGAATGAATAAATTGGCCTGTCCAGAAGCTAGAATTTACTTATTTATTTTAACACATAGATATTGGTAGAAGGAGGCATCAAATACATATGCACCATACAAATCTCATTTGATATGTGTGAGGGCTTTGATACTGCCTGGATGCCCTAACCAAACCAGGTGGTCTTCTTAGGGGGCCACACCCAGAGCCTTCGACCAGAAAGTTTGATCCACAAGGCAGCGGAGCAACGTCAGGAGATGCAATCCCATGGTAGCCGGTGACCAACAATTGATTCATACACCATTTGTTCCTTCAGGATACTGGAGCCCATGTGCACCATTGGTTTGGAATCAGGGTTTTACAACTTCCCTAGGTGGGCTCTCCATGTCCACCAACCCGGTTAAAGCTCCGGACGTTTGCTTTTCGTCCTCTCATTTTCGTAAACAACACCCCCGCCACAAGGAGGCAGTGAGTAGGACTTCTCTGGAAGAGGCTATATACACGTGGCCATGAGCGAGCATTTCGAGAGGGAGAGCGGACTCTCCCCACTCTCGGCCATACCAGGGCATTTGGGGGCAGAAGCTAGAATAAATTATTTGGGCTTAACATAGTAACCGACATTACACTACTTGTAAGTAGTTCAGATAGAATTTTTCACTGATTTTGTTTATCATAAATGGCAGCTGTTTTTCTTTTAATTTAGTATTCTGTCTATTCTGAAATTTCCATTAGATTATACAAACTGAAGAAAAAGGTCGTGGAATAATTGCTACACGAACATTTTATGAAGGTGAATTTGTTGTGGAATATGCTGGAGATTTAATCTCAGAAAAATTAGCTAAACAACGTGAAGCTGTATATAAACAAAATCCAGCAATTGGTTCCTATATGTTCTTTTTTGTACATGCGTAAGTTCTCGTTTTGCTATATTGTACAATAGATTTATTGTATTTAAACCTCGACTTTCAAATTAATTGACATGGTGATGAAAATTTGTAACTTAAGTGGAGTTTTTTTTTCTGTGAGCTAGATGCTTTGGTCATGGAGTTTTCGTTCTTCTTCTCAACAACATCATCAGCACTAACTTCAGATAGAAGTGAAATGCTCGAATTTCTATTCCTTTCTTCCTTGGTCTTGGTTGTTTATTGTTGACCTATAACACCTGTCTTTGCCGTACTCTTTATTTTTATTCTATCTCCCTTCAATTTGATTCTTGACCCTACGTCTGCATATATATATATATATATATATATATATATATATATATATATATATATATGGAGAGAGGGAGAGAAAAAAAAGGAATGCAGTTTCTCCACTGTGATCTACTCATAGCCATGTTAACTATAACATTACTCAACCACCGACTGCCCCGACGTGCGATTATTATTATTATTATAAGAAGCTTTATTCAACATTATACTTTTCGTACAACATAGAATTCTCAGCATAAAGTATTTCAACAAGTTTCTTTTTCTTATATCTTGATCGATTGTGACGATAAATTTCGAATGATGACCAGTTAGATGTTAGGAATTCGATAATCCGCATTTGATTAATGTTTGTTCGTTTCAATGCATATTGCCAGCCACCATGATGTCGCTGATTGTACCTTTCTGTATCCCGTATAGCGAAAGGTTGTAAACTTTTCATAAACGCGCCCGAATAGATTGTGAGCACAATAGACATATTGATATGCTAAAACGAACAACAAAACAGATAACTTGAAGAAATATATAGATCGAAGGAACAGGTAGCCCAGATATTCAAGCAGGCCGCCGCCAGTGCTTCCAGGTTTTCAATGGTGGTCTAGCTTCAACTGACTCTGATTTCTATCTGTGAAAATTTCTACAAATCTCCACAAACCCCTTCTGATAATAATCATCTGCTCACTAGTGACTGACTTCAAGAGATACTCCTGGAGTTCTAGTGGGAAGCCGTTACCAGTGGAGTACAACCAGGTCTGTTGTGAGATATCAGCTCACTGAAGACAATGGTATATGGTGGCGCAACTTCGTGATTAGTTGAAGTTAGACATTAACACCGTTGGATGCCGGCTCAGTGGTCTAATGGTTAAGTGCTCGCGCGCGAAGCCAGTAGGTCCTGGGTTCGAGCCCCGCGTGGTGCGGGATCGTGGATGCGCATTGCTGAGGAGTCCCATACTAGGACGAAACGGCCGTCCAGTGCTCCCAGGTTTTCAATGGTGGTCTAGCTTCAACTGACTCATGATTTCTATGTTTTATGATGTAGGAGTAGGTTGGAAGAAAGCTAGGGGCGGCCAGAACAAAACATGGCACAAGTCCATGAAGTCACTGACAAGTGGACTGAGTCATGTTGATAGGTGTAAACTACCTGGTTGGGGACCGCGAGATGATAGCAACCGATGGTTAGAGACCCTGAATGACATGGCTCAAAATCGTTTGGAATGGCGCAGATGCATTCACTCTTTGTGTTCTCCCGAATTCTAATCTCCTGATTCCTCCTTGTCTCTTTTTTTATTTTCTCTTTCCAAATTTATTTCATTAAATTATACTCCTTGAATGACGTCTTCAAACCCTAATCTTTCCGATTACTGCTTATACTCTTATTACCTCTAGCACTACGGTATTTGAATCGACAACTGCATCTCTGTGCTAATGTGGTGTGGCAACTCGAACTGATGTACGTACGTAAGAAGTTCTACGTTGTTACTGACTTAATGACTGATGACATCTCTAGTTATATCGAAAATTTCGAAATTTCTTGTCGTTGCCTTCACGTTAGCTGCTCAGTTTATAATTAAAAATCTTGAGTAATATGCCTTGAAATCGGTCGTATATGTCAAAATTAAATTGCATTGATGCTTTTAGAACTATGTACTTAAAGTTTAATTGGTTTACTATTATCATATACTAGTTTGGATCGATGCATTTATGTGTCAAATTCTGCATTGCTTACGATCGATTGATTGACTGAACCAAATTTGTGTTGTTTAGTACTTAATACTGACTCAAATTATTATTAATTATGAGTACATCCATTTCAAAGATCTAAATTAACCGCTTCATTCTCGTTTTAGAAGTAATCACTGAACATTTTGACAAATGATTGATCTTTAAAAATACAAAAAGTATTATTATTATTATTAGACTCTTGCTGCACTAGTAAACACAACACATTACTCTTCAACATAATCTTTACCATTTTCCAAACTATTATCTAACCCAGCCCTCAAACTATTGGCAGATCCGAAAAAGAAACATAGTTAGAAACACAAACCTTGCTCCAAACTACGATAATCTATTGAAAAAAGTTTGAGTATTTTTTTTCTAAAATTATTACCATATGCTCACTAATGACTAGCTTTGTGAGGGAATTTTCGCGGTTCTAGTGAGAAGCCCTGACTAGTGGAGCTAATCCATGTCAGGTAGAGACAGGTATCTACCTAAGTACTACGGGAAATAGTCACGCAATTTTGTGGGTTGGTTGAAGTTAGGCATTAACATCGTTCTATGCCGGTTCAGTGGTCTAGAGTTTAAGCGTCTGCTCGCTAGGCCGACGGCCCTGGGTTCGAGTCCCGCGAGCGGAATTGTGGATGCGCACTGTTGAGGAGTCTCACAATAGGACGGAACGGCCATCTAGTACTTCCAGGTCTTCAATAGTGGTATAACATCAATCGGTTCATGATCTCAATCAAAATTCTTAGTGTTTCTTTTATAATCTGCCATTTAGAATACATATATATTATTACATTTCTCCAACACAAAGTGTATTAAATCATTTATTGTTTCAGAGGTCAACGGTATTGTGTAGATGCAACAGAAGAGACCTCACGACTTGGTCGACTGATTAATCATAGTAGATTAAAACCGAATTGTATTGTTAAAGTAATTCCAATTGATGGTGTTCCTCGACTTGCACTATTTGCACGTAAATCAATTTCTCCTGGTAAGTTGTTTTTATTTTATGTTTTCAGTGGTAGTCTGACATTGATCGGTTCATGGATTTAATGTAATTTAACATTCTATACAACTTCATACTGATAATGCTGAATTGCCTAATCTTTTAGGTTTGCAATGTAAATATTGGACAGCTTGATTTGACATCATAATGCAATTTCTTTAAGGGTTTATTGATTTGATGGTAATAATTAAGAGGACTAAAATCCAGGTTGTTTAGTCTGTTAGTTGGTTGCTTTCCCGAAGAATCAAACCTACACCATACAATTGGATGACATTTCTACTGTGTTATTCAAATCACGACTGATCTAGCTTAGGAGTGTCTAGTCTCTTGTGATGGTCGAATTATGTCGATCTCAGATTGCAGGTCTGAACCTTGCCATTGAAAAACATCGAAATCTCAGTAGTTACCAATGTCGTTTCCACTTTAGTCCTGATCGAATTCTATCGATCCAACGTGTCCACCAGCTTAGGTTACTTGGCGTCAGCTGTGACGTCGTCGATTGGAAACCCTGGAAATAGGTTTCTTGCTATTTGGCACTAGTTAGCAAGGTACGCTTGTAACCAGCCCCTAAATGCCCTGGTACGACCGGGGATGGAGAGAATCAGCTCTTCCTCTCGAAATGCTCACACATGATCGCGCATATACAGCCACTGACAGGGAAGTCCTACTCACTGCTTTCTCGCGGCGGGCTTGTTCTTTACGAAATTAAGAGGTCGAAAAGTGGATGTCCGGCGCTTTAACCGGTTTGGTTGATATAGAAGACTTACCTAGGGGAGTTGGAAAATCCTGATTACAGACCATTGATGCATATGGGCTCTAAGATCCTGAGGAAAAAATGACGTATGAACCTTTTACTGATCATCGGTATCATGGTACTGCATCTCTTTACTTTCCTCCACTGCCTTGTGAATCAGATCTTTAGGTCGAGGGTTCGGTGGTGTGGCCCTCTAAGAAAACCACCTGCTTCAGTCTGGGCACCCGGGTAGTATCACACCCCATAAACAAATCAGGTGACTTGTATGGTGCATATGTATTTGGTGCCCCGATATAACAATATTTATGTGTTCAAACAAATAATCTGGAGGGAACTACTACTCTGGTGATATCGGTCTCGTGTCGTCTGGTTTCACAATCAGAGACGTTACTGCTTAGCTATTTGGGCCGCAACTGATGAAAATTCAAGCACACATGGACTATTGACCACTTTAAACTTGTCAACAGTCGATTAACAGTTATATATAATGCTAAGTTCTATTGATGGTGTACTCTTAATTGATATTTTAATTATTCACTACACAATCTTGTATGATGGGCGTAGAATAAATTGGACTGTAGACCTTAACAAGTTCTTATGTTAATTACCGCTGAGTCGGTTAAAATGTGATCAAATTTATATATACATTATGAAACCTCAAGGTAGATAGTCTTGGTTTCATTCTAATACATGAAACCTGTACTTCCATACACATAGTTCCCTTTATTACCTTAAAGAGAGCAAGAACGAAGATTAGTACAGTCATTTCGCTTAATATTTCGTAATGCTCTTATGTGGTCTTTGGATAAACGTTTAGACTGTGGTGTGGGTGAAACGAGATATTTGTTTGCGATATCAACTAGTTTAGATTTAAACCAGCCTATGTTCTCTTCACTAACTGGGTACAACTCTTTAATTTGATCAAATAAATTCTCAAATTGGGTTTTTGTGTCGATTCTGTCGGTATATATTTTGGGGATATGAAATTTAAATTCAAGCGACAAAGCTTTTGTTTCTGTATGTTTTAACGGCATGACTTGAGACATTCATCAAAAAACTTAAGTCGAGTCGTTTCTCTCGATATTCTGCAGCGTATTGTCACCAGGCGATTCAGTGACTTGAATGTCTGTGCAGGGAGACGCATTTTGAGAAATTTCATACACATAGTTGCATCAATTTTCATTCTTGCTCTCTTTAAGACCTATACTTAATAAATGAGTTACAAGATAGGTTTCTCGATTGATGTATCAATGTACATTGGTTCAGTGATGAGCAATTGTTATTTAAAGATGGATAGTGGCTAGCAGTGGAGCCCAGCATGCGCATTTCATCTTATTTGAGACTCCTCAGCTGGATATACCTACATCCCAGAGTTAATATTCACTCCGGGACTCGAACCAGCACTGATCAATTACAGTCCTAAATAACAATGGAAAGATACAAGTAAAAGAATATCAAGTGAATTGTTATTCAATTTAAATTAAATCATCCTTGTTATTGTTTATTTTGTATTACATTTTTTTATTTATTGTCTAGGTGAAGAACTACTCTATGATTATGGTGATCGTGATAAAGAAACTTTACAACTTCATCCATGGTTGAAAACATAAACAATTCACCCCCTTTTTTTCTTTATTTTATTGATCAAGTACATGTTGGTAACTACGATGATAATGGTAATTCATTTGTTACTACCGTTGTTGTTGTTGCTATCGCTATCGATTGTGGTTAGAAATTTTTAAAAATTATTTCTTCTATTAGATTTTCTTCTTAAGAGATCACTATGCTCTCTTTCTATTTCATGTTTTCTTCATTGATACTATTCATGATGCTTTCTGTCTAGAAGATTATTGAATACATTTAGTCATAAACGTACGTAATCGACAAATTATCTTTACAAGTGTAGTCTGATAAAATGAAGTATCTCTCGCTTTCTTCATTCTCTTTTTCTTATTCTGAGGTTTGGCAACTTGGACTGATGCATTTATGTGTCTGGCCCTATGTTGTAATGACTGACTTTTTCTTCTTCTTCATAGTTTCTCTCAGCTTTATCAGTTTCTCCTTGGATTCTTTTGTTTGCAGACAAACTTTACTCTTTCCTTAGGTGTATACCATTTGTATACATTTATATATACATACTTGTCTACTTATTTCACTATTGTTAGTAGTATTCTGATTAATGTCAATGTTATTTAGGTATTAGTAACTTTGTATTCATAATAATTACGTCTCTGTGTGTATATCTATGCACATATATATATGTAACGATTTGTTTGTTTCCATATTACTGTACTGTATGTTCAAAACTCCAGATACAATAACATTGGAATGAATTCATTCAAACTTGTTGTCTTTGACATGGAAAAGAAACACGTAGCTTACAACCGACTATATCAGACTAATATTCGACCTCTACTTCCATATAATACAAAGATATCATGAAATATTTTATGAGAAGAAACCAATAGGTTAGCGTATTTTTAACGAGTTAGTTTTCTACGGGATGGAGTCGCTAACCCCCATACCCAACCCTTCTCATTTACCCGGGCTTGGGACCGGCAGTAACTCTAGAAGAGCTACAGGCGGAATTAAGAAACCACCAAAGTAGAATAATTCAAGCATATAGCATTTCTATATAAATATATCTTTAACTACATTGAAAATATGATAAGACATAGCATACACTGACAAAGTGAATATGTATTATTTTCTTGAAGAAAGCAATGCACCAACATGGGATGAATTTTTTTATTAAACTAAGAATGATTACTTCAGTGAAGAGTTCTCTTTCCGGAGAAAACATGTACATAGGAAGGAGCAGTCGTGATTTGCAGTTAAGGGTGGGTGAACATATACCAAAATGGTTGCAGAAACAGATGAGTTTCAATGGTCAAATAAGATCACATGATAGACTCACATCATCCTCCATTGCGAAACATTTGATTGAGACCGGTCAGAAAGTTGACATCAAGTCAGCATTTGTAGTGTTATACAAAAGCCTTCCAGGACGTATACTAAGGTTTATTGAAACATTGGCTATACGGAAACTGAATACATATGTTCCAAAATGATTAATAATGGTCTTGAGTGTTATTAGAGGTATGAAGGCTGTTATCACTTCCCGGTTGCCCACACCGTGGAAGGAATCTTCTGGAAGTACCTGAATAGGAAATTGAGTTAGAGGTGGTGATTTGAGAGCGTGACTGCAGTGCCTAAGGGACAGCTGCTTGAGATCAGTTACACACGACCTTTTCGTGATTAATTTTTGTGTTAGCTCCGTACTTGTTGAGAACTTATCGCTGAAGACGGATATCCGTGGGATGAGGCCAGGTGTGCATTTTTAGGGTCGACCTTTTCTAACCCCAGCCCTCCATGTGAGAAGGTAGCATCGCTGTTATGCTGGCCGTCTGAAGAAAACACCTTACTGCTGTCACACCTCTGTGCATTCAGCAGTACGACTTTACCTTCGGACCTCAGGTTTGTTGGCTTTAGTCTTACCGCTCTTTAACCGACCTGTCTGGCATGGTAGGACCTTGAGGAACGATTTTTCCATCCAGTATAGCTCGACAGGTTCATCACGATAGGCAAGCCCGACCACCACACAAGATAGCAACTACGTTCGGTTAAATATGGTGGCAGTGAAGCAGAATAAATAAAGGCATTAAAACGTTATTTTTTTTATTAGGCAAACTAATAATAGTTTTATTAATAAGGGGCTTGAATGTACGTCAACAAGATTGATAGGGAAATTATCATTGGTTAATGAAGATTCAGAATGTTGACATTGAGATTAACTGTTATCAGGAGGATCATAGAAACAGAAGAAAACACAAGCATTTCTTTGAAGATTGAAGTTTTATTCGGTCTAGGGGTACAAACACCATAAACCTTACTACTTGTTGAGTATTGCCTGATTATTTTTAACATCATTCTAGCTCAGCAGTACAGTATAGTATTCTTTTGATGACAATTCTACTTCCCGTTACTGAGATTATAGACATCTCACTAAAATTTCAGTTTTTCTTAATACATTTTAAGTTGTGTTATGCTTTATGTCCACTAGTATAACGTGAAGCAGTAGCTCAGCGGTCAAACCACGAAATGGTAGGTTTGAATCTAAATTCACATACTATGGTTCTGAAAACTAGATAGTGTCACCAGCCCTCACATATAGAGCGTGACTGAGAGGAAAGTACGCGAATATGAACGTCGTAAACAGAACATGAATGAATTGTCAGCATAACATATAACTATATTGTCTTTCGATTACATTCTTATTTTTAAAAGATTTTCATATATATATATATATACTTAACTAGATAGTTTTCAAATGTTTTTCGGCTCAGTGTTCATCTCAGAATTTCGTTTCAATAAAATATTCGTTAAAAAACGGGAAATACCTGGAAATCAGCTAGCGACTTTATTGGCGAATCGGATTCAATCACGTGGAACCTGACTCATGCATGCAACAGTTCCAATTGTCATACTATATTAGGACAGCGGGATAAAATTATCTAAACAAATGTTAGGAGTCGGTCTGTCAGCTACAACGTAAGACCAGGCACATATATGCATCGGTCTAAGTTGTCATACCTCATTAACACAACAAGATGAACACCGGATTCATAAAAGTAGTTAATTCAGAGGTGGTAATATATGAAAGAAAGATTGCATATAAGGATATAGTGCAGGAAGAAAAAATTAGTTCCTAGAAAGAAAGATATGAAACAATTTTAATCTCTTAGTTTAAGGGAAGACAGAGAGTATATACACCGACGCCATTGTGATTGATTCTGAGCCATGTCGCCAAGGGTCTCCAATCATTGGTTACGATAGTCACTCGGACCCCAAACAAGTAGTCTGCATCTCCCAACATGGCCCAGACTACAAGTTAGTGACTTCAAGCACTGATGCCACGTTTTGGTTTTGGCGCCCCTAACCTTCTTCTAACCATCTCCAACACCGGTTAGCATTGCACGTTGGATGGTAGGAGTAGCAGCATTAGTACAAAACTTTAGGTCTAAACAATACGATTCAAGAATAAAAAATGAATTCTGGGAATAAAAGTGTGGATCATTTTCTAACGCAAAGCATAAGGGAAAACAAAGAATGAGTACATCTACCCCATTGCGAACAATTTAAACTGTCTCATCCAACGTATTAACCTAGTGATCGCGCTGACTATAACCTTTTAATCTGAACCTACTAACATGACTAAGACCAACAGATAATAACTTCATGAACTGATACCACTTTTTAATTTGTTCACCGTTAGATTTCTTCCAAACTACCTCTATTCTGACAAACATGAATTAAAATAGAATTAAATTGTGGATGAAATTTTTTTATTGTTCGACAACCATTTTACTTATACCACAATCGATGTAAGCTTCTGATAACCATGTGCGCTTTCTGAACTCTTTCTAGTATGTGCACAAGATTCTTTGCTGTTATTCTCCTTTCCATCCATCTATGTGTAAACTGGAGAAAGCAGGCTGTTTAATGTGTCACTCCGCCTAAAGTCCCTCTAGGGGCTACTGCCGGTCCCAAGCCCGGATAAGGGAGGAGGGTTGGGCATGGGGTTAGCGACTGTTATGACCTTGAATGTCTGGCTTTTCTATCACACGATTTATCTACCAATCCGAATACGACTTATACGAATCTTCACATTAGGCCAACCAATGACGTTCAACCGGTATGAGCGGTTTAGCGTCCTTATTGGTCCTATGTCCTCCTAACCCTTCCACTTGAGTCCAGAACACAATACCAGCTTCTGTAATATGAATCGAATCAGAGCAGATCGTTTATTTCAGACATACTCGATTTATATATCAATCAGACAGACCACAACGTACCATAAAATAGGAAATAACATGTGTACACAAATAAGCCAAAAAGTGGCTGTGAATGAGGGGGACAGTAACTAATAGACTGAGCATAGCTTAAGAATCGTAAATCGTACAATAATAAATTATAGGTCAAAATAAAGCTTATAATAAGAGGAATATAAATATACATAATCTAATTACTCAATAGTTTTACAATAAGAATATTTATAGAATATTAGTCTATTAATAGGTCTCAGAAGTTACCTGTAATTTAATCTTCACTGGGTTATAACAGCGACCCCATCCCGTAGAAAACTAACTCGCTAAAAAACTGCTAACCAGAAATTATTCATTGTACTCGTTTTCGAGCATATAGTCATTCACTTCCATACAAGTTTCTATACATATTTGTGTGCTAGTCAGTATGTACTTGTTTGCTTATTACTTACCAACGATTGTGTAAATCTACATGAGCTGGTACAGTGATTCATGTATTCTATAATCAATTGAAAGATCATTCTATCTTCGTTCATACTCTTGTTTGGTTTTTCCCTTCATATGAATACCAGTAATATGTGTCCTAAACACTGGTATTTCAACTTTTGATGTATCGTTTTTATAAAACGTGTTAAGTCGGAAAAACTAATGAAAAACAACATTACATTATTGTCATTATTCGAAGCCACAATAGAGGTCAAAATGGTTTCATCGGCTACTAACCCAACAGGTCTGATGAGAATGAATATTTACGTCATAGATTTTGTATAATTCTCAGTCGTAAGTCAACACCTATCAAATCAATAATTATCAGAAAGGGGTTTTGTCGATATTACAATAATTCAATAGTTGAGTTTATGAGTCAATTGAAGCTAGACGACCATGGAAAACCTGGAAGCACTGGACGGCCGTCTCGTCCTACAATGGGATTCCTCGGCAGTGCTCATCCACGACACCACCCCGCGGGATCCGAACCTATGACCTATCAGTTTCACACACGAACGCTTAACCTCTAGACCACTGAGCTGGCTGGCATCCAGCCTGTCTAACATTAACCAATCCACGAATTGGAGCCACTGTCCACCATTGTCATCAGTGATTTACTATCTCACAACAGAGCCGGTTGAACTCCACTGGTCACTACTTCTCACCAGAACTCCAGGAAATACCTCTTGAAGCCAATCACTAGTGAGCATATGATGACTATTATCAGAAAGGGGTTTTGTGAATAATTTTAGTAATTTAATAGTTGAGTTCATGAGTCAATTAACTAGAGAAAACCAGGCTGGTTTTCGACCTGGACGTGGTTGTATAGACCACATATTCACACTACGTCAGGTTCTAGAACACAGACACACGTTCAGACGCCCCACAATCGTAGTATTTCTCGACCTTAAAGCAGCATTTGACTCTGTTGATCGTGAGGTTCTATGGCAGTGTTTGTCACTGAAAGGAGTACCAAAGAAGTACATTAACCTTATAAAGGCTCTCTACTCGAACACAACTGGTAGAGTGAGAGCTTATGGCGAACTGTCATCAGAATTGATTACCTCAAGTGATGTTCGTCAGGGCTGTCCACTCTCCCCATTCTTGTTCAACTTTATCATTGACGTACTTTTAGAGATAACACTCTCCTCATCTAAATTTACAGGGGTTGAACTTCTACCGGGAGGTTCACTTGTTGACTTAGAATATGCAGATGACATAGTTTTATTTGGTGAAGACGCTGACAAAATGCAGAATCTTCTGACCACTCTAAGCAACAATGCAAGCATGTTCGGGATGCGATTCTCTCCCTCGAAATGCAAAATGTTGCTTCAGGATTGGGTTACATCGACACCCGAACTAGTGATAGGGAGTGAAGTAGTTGAGTGTGTCGACCGCTTCACTTATCTTGGAAGTCTCATCAGCCCTTATGGTTTTGTGTGTGACGAAATCTCAGCACGGATACAGAAGGCTCGACTAGCTTTTACCAACTTGTGTCATTTATGAAATAGGCGAGATATCCGTCTACCAACCAAAGGATGGGTTTATTGTGCAGCAGTTCGTTCCGTCCTACTTTATGGCAGTGAAACATGGCCGGTAAGAGTAGAGGATATCCGTAGGTTACCAGTATTTGATCATAGGTGTCTTCGAAATATTGCTCGTATACCCTGGGACTATCGAATAAACAACGCAGTTGTTAGGAAACGGGTACTAGGTAAGGATGGCAAATCAATTGATGACGTAGTGAAACTTCATCCGTTGAGATGGCTGGGACACGTGTTACGTATGCCCAACGACCGACTGCCTCGACGTGCTATGTTCAGTGGTATAGGAGTAGGTTGGAAGAAAGGTAGGGGCGGCCAGACCAAAACATGGCACAAGTCCATGAAGTCACTGACAAGTGGACTGAGTCATGTTGGTAGGTGTAGACTACCTGGTTGGGGACCGCGAGATGATAGCAACCGATGGTTAGAGACCCTGAATGACATGGCTCAAAATCGTTTGGAATGGCGCAGATGCGTCTACTCTTTGTGTCCTCCCAAATTTTGATCTCCTTACTCCTCCTTGTCTCTTTTTTATTTTCTCTTTCCAAATTTATTTCACAAATTATACTTATTGAATGACGTCTCCAAAACCTAATCTTTCCGATTACTGCTTATACTCTTATTACCTCTACCACTACGGTATTTGAATCGACAACTGCATCTCTGTGCTAATGTGGTGTGGCAACTCGAACTGATGCACGTACGTATGACTGATTCAATAATTATTTATATATTACTCTACTATTTATAATTCGCATTGTTTAAGACTTGTTTACTTGTTCAACGGCTTTATTCCTAAAGAGAGAACCATTTAAATACTTGTTATGGTTTATTATTTCCAATAAGATGTATTTTAACAAGAAAAATTATTCAATTTAAATAGACAACTCGTGTAATATTTTGTAGAATGATATATATTACTCAAAAGTATTAATAGTAGTAAGTATATATGTCATTACTTAAATTCCATGTATAATATTTAAATCTACTGTTTTTGACCATCATTCTGAGCAAGTAATCGATATAAATGTTCATCACTCAAACATCCCTGAATAAATTCTTCTTTTGTCAATACACTATCTGAATTAATATCCATTTTGGTGAAAATTGTTCTTGTTCGTTCTGCTGGTGTTTTACTATTCTCTTCGTCAATATCACCAACCATTAAGTGAATAGCCTGGAGAAAAATTTATTGTCGAGAAATGAAAATGAGAATGTTAGAAAATTAAATTGATAAATTAGAAATGGATACTTTTTGAATAGTGATGTTTTCTATTGATGAGTCTTCCTTTGCAGAGCGTCTAGGATTACTGCCTGTCCCAAGCTTGGATGAGGTAAGAGGATTGGGCATAGGATTAGTAACACTCAAACCTCGTAAAAAATCTTGTTGCAAAAAAGCTGGCCAGAGATAAGTGATCAAACACAGTGATGGGTCGAGTACAGCAAACTTCAGTTTTCCATGATGTATGGTACCTAAAAACTGAACTGTATGTCAGATGAAACTGTTGTGATAGCTGTTCTGAGTAATGAACTATTCACCTAGCGAAGATTACTGTTCATATCTCTATGTCTGATCCAATGAGGGTACATATATATATGTATATAACTACGTTTTTTCGCCTCTTTTGATGTTCTTTTATTTTCCCATCCCTTAGTTCAGTTAGGCGTTTGGAACGTGCTTATTCTCTGAAATGTACCGCAGTCCATAACATCTAAGACGATCAAAATCTGAAGACTAGATGGTGGTTGGAGGTAGTCAACAGGAAACCCTGGACCCGGGTTTCGTGCTACTTGGCACTCGTCAGCAAGGTGTACCTGTAATCTTGAGGGAACTGGTGCTCCCTGGCGGATTCGACCTCGTGTCACCCAGCTTCACAGTCAGAGACGTTACCACTGAGCTATCCGAGCCGTGACTAACCTCCTGTAGGACTGAGATGTAATCACAATTGATTGATCACTGGGTGGTGATCAATCTCATGCTTGTCTAGTCCTTATTAGTGCAGATCGAATGCTAATCTCAATACATAGTGCCCGCAGTGTCGAGTCACCTAGACTGGTGGCCACATTGCAACATGATCGATAGCAATCGATCTGCACTAATAATAAGGACTAGACAAGCATGAGATTGATCACCACCCAGTGATCAATCAATTGTGATTAAATCTGAAGACTGTTTTGGTTGACTTACTAAATTAACATCACAGTACCTATATATTAGTTTCATATACTATTTGATTGGGTGTTTATTCATTAACGGATCTTCCTACATTATCTGTCTTCTTTCATTAATTATGTACTGATCAGTGAATTGAATTTGTACATGACCAGGTTACACAGCGGATCAAATCACTTGAATCAGTATAATTTACAAAGATAATGTTGAATACATTTAAAATTAGGGTTGGATTTCTGAAGAGATCACAACTCCCCCCTTCATATATACCACAAAGAAAATCTATATACATAGAATAAATAAACGAAATGAAGTTTTCAAAAGAGAAGAGCATTCTTTCACAATAGTGAATAATATGTGTGAATATTTGGTAGCATCATCGATGAACACAGTGGATCTAATGAAGATCTGAAGGAGCGGATCGGTAAAGCAAGAACAGCATATCTAAATTGAAGAAAATCTGGAACTTAAAACAACTGTCAACCAACACCAAGGTCAGAATTTTCAATAAAAATGTTCAACTGTATGGGGTGGAAACGTAGAAAACTACAAAAGCCATCATCCAGAAGATAAAAGTGCATATTGACAGTTGTCTGCGCAAAATACCTCAGGTCCATTAGCCGGACACTATCAACAACAACCTACTGTGGGAGATAAAAAACTAGATTGCAGAGGAAGAAGAAATCAGGAAGAAGCACTGGAAGTGGATAAGACACACATTGAGGAAAGCACCCAACTTCATAACAAGGTAAGCCCCCACATGGAATCCTCAAGGTCGAAGGAAAAGAGGAAGATCAAAGAACAGATAACGTTAAGAAGTGGAGACAGATATGATAAGAATGAACAACAATTGGATGGAACTAGAAAGGAAGTCCCGCGACAGAGTGTGTTGAAGAATACTGGAAGTCGGCCTATGTCCCATTGAGAGTAACAGGCATAAGTAAGTAAATAAGTATGCGTGCACATTCAAAGTTACAGGCTTTTAATTTAGTCATGTTTTACAGATGTTTTGTGACATGGCTTTTGTAATTTTCTTTGTGTGCATAAATTTTAATGAACCTGATTCTTCGATAAATAACTGTCTCACACCCGACACGGTTGTACTTCACTGGTCACGGATTTTCACTAGAACTCCGAGAATTACATCTCGAAACTAATCACTAATGAACACATAATAATTATCAGTATAGGTTTGTATAGATTATTGTTATTTGAACACATAAATATTGGTACAAAAGAGCACCGAATGCATATGCACCACAAAATTCACATGATTTGTGTCTGTGGTCTGTGATACTACCAGGTTGCGCAGACTAAAGCAGGTTAGATGGTTAAATTTTAATTGAGATCATGAACTGATCCATGTTAGATCACCAGTGAAAAACTGAGAGTTCTAGACAGCCCTTTCATTTTAGTATGTGACTTATTCCTGCCAAGATAAGATTTGATCATTTATCCTTTGCCGAATTGTCTATTCCACTTGACCCATTTATTCAAATAACTAACCTTAGTTCTGTTCATTTCTCTCACTATCCAAAGGAAAAAAATCTACAGTTGAGATCATGAGTCAATTGAAGCTAGACCACCATGGAAAACCTGGAAGCATTGGACGGCCAACTCGTCCTATTGCGAGACCTCTCAGCAGTGCGCACCCACGACCCCACCTCGTGTGATTCGAGCCCAGGACCTATCAGTCTCGCGCCAGGCGCTTCACCAACTAGATCACTGAGCTGCTAGGCACCCAACGGTGTTAATGTCTAACTTCAACTAGTCCACGAAATTGAGCGACACATCCATCATTGTCATCAGTGAGTTACTGTAGAACGAAACGGCCGTTCAGTGCTTCCAGGTTTTCCATGGTGGTCTAGATTCAATTGACTCATGATCTCAACTGTTGAAATTACTACAATTTCCACAAAACCCCTTCTGAAAAAAAAACCACTTACATAATCGAATTTCAACTTGCTTCCTTCATATTACGAACTACACAGTGTGTTTTTGTTTGTTGGGTTTTTTTGTTTTGTTTTGTACTCGATTGCATGTATATAAATATGCTAAATGACTAAAAATGACATAATATTGACGTAATCAGATCAATTTTGACTTTGATTTAACCAAATATTGTTCCCTTTTTTGTATTTTTTCAATTATACAATTTGAACTTGTGGTAATTAGATTCGGTGATTTGTTTATTTGTTACTATGGTAATAGTTTATGTTACATCATAAAATGTCAGAAATTCAATTTGCCTCTCATTGGTATATATATATATATATATATGATTAGTTTATTATTAAGAATTTGGGTTAGTTTCTATCTTAGATATTGAGATTTTATCAGTAATGGGGTTGTGGAGATTATTATTATATTTTTGATTAAGATCATGAACTGATTGATGTTAAACCACTATTGAAAACCTGGAAGCACTGGATCGCCATTTCGATCCCACTGGGTTTGAATCCCTCTAGCAAGATCGTGGATGCGCACTGTCATGGCGGAGTCCCACAATAGGATAAAAACGGTCATTTAATGTTTCCCGGTTTTCAATTGAGATTTTAGCTGAGTAGATGTATGTCAAAGTCTATTACATCAATTTGTTTGGTTGTCAGGGGGAAATTATTAAAACTTTATTCAATCAAGCAAAATAATGAGATAACAAATGATAAAACTATCTTGACTACTTATTTAGATATCTGGGTTACTTGTTTCTACCATCTACATATTTCATAAAAGATTTTCTATTTTCTTGTTTGTTCTAACACATCATTATGCCGATTAGTCGGATAACCTATTCAGGTACGTTTATGAAAAGTTTACGATCTTTCACTGTACATGTTACAAAAGAGCCCAATCATAGACATCATTGTCACTGGCATTATGCATTGAAAAGAATCAATATTATTCAACTATCGATTCCTGAACTGTGAACATCTAACTGACGATCACTTAATATTTATCGTCAATATCGATCACGAAATAGGAAGAGGAAACTTGTTGTTGTGTTAAGAATTCTATGAGTCGACTGAAGCTAGACCACCATGGAAAACCTGGAAGCACCGAACAGCCGTTTCGTCCTAGTATGAGACTCCTCAGCAGTGCGCATCCACGCTCCCGCACCACGCGGGGTTCGGACCCAGGACCTACTGGCTTCGTGCGCGAGCACTTAACCACTAGACCACTGAGCCGGATGCGCGCTGCTGAGGAGTCCCACACTAGGACGAAACGGCTGTACAGTGCTTCCAGGCTTTCCATGGTGGTCTAGCTTCAATCAACTCATGATTTCAACCCGTGAAATTTATAAAACTCTCCACAAAACCCATTCTAATAAGAATTCTATATTGTACCAAAAATACAATAGCAAATAAAGCCATTAATAATAATAATATTTTACTTAGGGAGATAACACATACTACTCATCGGATTAAACTTATTTAATTCTTAAGGATTTTTGTTCAAATCCTTATTTAGTAATGAATTAGAAATTTGTGGAAACAAACTATGCCTTAAAGAGTCATTTTCTTTAATAGTTATCTCTCTTCCTATCAGTTTGTTGACCTGTAGTTATGAGTACCAGAAGGAGGTTTTTGGATATTATAGCAATTTTAATAGTTGAGATCATGAATCAACTGAAGTTAGACTGCCATGAAAAACCTAAAACTACCAGGTAACCACTTCGTCCTAGTGTAGGACTCATCAGTAGTGCGCATAATTGATTTTACTAACGTATGTTTATTCAATACTACTAGCTTTTCACTAGTTGAAATCATGAGTCAATTACAGCTAGACCACTATGTAAAACCTGAAACCATTAGATGACCGTTTCGTCCTATTGTTAGACTCTTCAGCAGTTCACTTTGTCAAATTAATAGTAGTCATAAGTAATATCAGTGAATAGTAGAAAAGGAAACCATCATCAACTTTATTATCTATTTAAATATAAATAAATAATGGTAATAACTTACTTTAATAATTTGTGTCATTTCATATTCTTCAATTGTTCCATTTCTATCAATATCATATAATTGAAAAGCCAATTCAAGTTTTTCCTCTGGACTACCTGATTGAGTAATACTAATAGCCTGTATTGTATTGTTTTTTTGAATAGAAAAACACAAACAAAATGATTTATACTATTGATAAGATAATTAAGTAATATATAATGAACCTAGATACAATCATATTTTCTCATAACGATTATAGATGTTTATCTTTATATCTATGGTTGAATTGATTCATATAAATCTTTTTTGTACTAAAATATAATAAGGAATTCTTAATAGATATTCAATCAATAAATGATTCTTGTTTCAACAAAGTGGTTTTGTAGAGATTGGTTAAATTTGTAAATGGGATTAGACCTCCTATAGGATTGAGATGTATTCACATTTAATTGATCACCACCTAGTGATTAATCAAATGTGAATACATCTCAGTCCTACAGGAGGTCGGTCGCGTCCCGGATAGCCCAGTGGTAACGTCTCTGACTATGAAGCTGAGTGACATGTGATTGGATCCGTCAGGGAGCACCAGTTCCCTCAGCACACCTTGCTGACGAATGCCAAAGAGCACGAAACCCGGGTCCAGGATTTCCTGTTGACTACCTCCAACTACCATTCTACTATGATTTATGGGCGTCATTTGAGCAACACCAAAGTGACCTTGAGAGTGTCTACCTAATAACTAGAAGCAAATGAGGATTGTAAGCTAGTGTGAGGAATTAGAATTATGATTTACAGTTGATGGTTAAGTTAAGGAATTAGATTTGGTGTTTTCATCACGAATTGACACAAACTATAATACCAAAACCTTATTTAGCCAAATGGATAAATAAATTTCGTGTTGAAATCCGAAACCTCTTATCTTGTATCTGATTGGTTCGTCCATAAATTAAGGTCTCACTGTAGATGGTATTTGTTAAAGGTTGATATGAGTTTAGATACTAATGAAATCCACTGAATACAGTTTATATGTTTTGATCAAGTGTTGGACTGCCTAGCACTGTTCACCTACTACCTTCCATCATGATTAGTTTGTTCTATGAATAATCTGTACATGCATTGTTTATTCGCTCCCATATATATATATATATATATATATATATATATATATATATATATATATATATATATATTATGAGTAAGGTGAATAATATAAAAATAATGGTTCTTTTACATCAACTGCGAACTATAACTAATTATAAATGCTGTAACTACTCTAATGTAAACAAAAGCTTATTCCATATTATATGAAAACTTTTACACCTCATGATGATGAGGTTATCTTTATTTATTACCACAATTAATGTTGTATTTATGCTATAACTGTGACGGCAGCAGATTAGAGAACAGCATATTATCGATCGGACCAAAGACGCGCAAACACGTAAGAACGGCCTAGGGTTCTGATTGGTCCCGCTTTCCTGTCTAGCCCAGCCAGTTGAGTCCAGTACGCAAGTCTCAGCCTCGGAGATATGAATCATTATATTTCAAATATACTCTGTTTATATACCAACCAAGCAGACCACATCGTACCATAAAATAGAAAATAACATTGTACAATACTGACCAGTAGGAAAACGACACGTGAAGTAAATATTGACCAATAAGAAAACAACACCATTTCAAGTCCAAGGATAGCATTAGACTTGACAGAATAATCTTTGGGATATTTTCCTGAATATCCCAACAGTTTATGATACTTGACTTGAATAAAAACTAAGCTAGTTATTGCTTTTTTAATTGGAAACTAAACGTTTGTCTGTGACGATTTCTTGTTACAAGCCACATAACAACACTTTGCTACTAACCACAAATAAAGTAATATAGATATCAGAAAGGGGTTTTGTGGATATTATAGTAATTTAATTGTTGAATTCATGAGTAATCTGGAAGCACTGGACTGCCGTTTCGTCTATTGCGGGACTCCTTAACAGTGCGTGTCCATGAACCCAGGACCTATCAGACTAGCGCGCGAACGTTTAACCTCTAGACCACTGAGCTGGCCGACATCCAACGGTGTTAAAGTATAACTTTAACATATCCACGAAGTTTTACCACCATCCACCATTTTCCTCAGTGATTTACTATCTCACAACACAGCCGGTTGAACTCCACTGATCATTGCTTCGCACTAGAACTACAATGCTTCCGTGATGGTCTAGCTTCAACTGACTCATGGATTCAACAGTTAAACTGATATATATATATATATATATATATATAATGACAAACATTTTAATTGATTTTTCAGCTAACCATCAATTCAATTCGTTTGTTAACATAATTCTTGAATAGAAAACATTGTGATTGTTCAAACTGTCAATAATCAAATTATATAACACGGGATATAATATCAGTTAAAAACAAACTATTTACTAAAAGTGCCTCCAAATGCCCTGATGCGGTCGAGAGTTGGGAGAGTCGGGTCCTCCTCTCGAAATGCTCGCTCATGGCCACGCGTATATAGCCTCTGCCAGGGATGTCCTACTCACTACCTCGTCGTGGCGGTGTTGTTTACGAAAATGAGAGGACGAAAAGCGAATGTCTGGTGATTTAACGGGCCGATGGACACGGTGAGTCCATCTAGGGAAGTTGGAAAACCCTGATTTCAAACCAATGGTGCACATGGTCTCCAGTATCCTGAAGGAACAAATGGCGTATGAACCGATCGTTGGTCATCGGTTACCATTGGACTGCATCATTTTACGTTGCTCCACTGCCATGTGGATCAGACTTTCAGGTCGAAGGCTTCGGGTGTGTCCCACTCAGAAGACCACCTGCTTTGGTTAGGGCATCCGGGCAGTATCAAAGCCCTTACACATATCAAATGAGATTTGTATGGCGCATATGTATCCGGTGCACTCTTGTATCAGTATTTATGTGTTCAAATAAATAAATAATTTACTAAAAACTTAACTACACTTCACAAATCCATTTCATAAACGATGAAGTTTGAGATAATTGATTGTCTTTTGTTTTTATAAATGAAGTTACATGTTGATTGTAATCATTGGTTTCATTGATATATGTCTACATTAAATGTACTTTAATATATAAATCTTTTATATCCCTATATATATATATATCATTAAGTGCTAGCCATATTGAATTTTCTATCATTGTACGTTTTTAGTGAAGTACTAAACATGATGGCGCCCAACTATATTTGAACATGTTATCATGTTTGTTTTTATCTAGTTCAATGTTAACACTTTAAAATCAATACAATTACATTCATATTTTTTGATGGGAAAATTTGTACCATGTATAGAATTGATGATTAGGATTTCTACTCAAAAACTTCTTAGATGATTTATAGGTGAGATTTTTAATTTATGGATAACATTTGTGCGAAGCCAAACTAATCTTGAAAGTGTTCACCTGATAACTAGGACTAAATGAGGGTTATAATTTACAGTTGATGATCAAGGTTAAAAATTAGATTTAGGGTTTTCATCATGAACTGACATTGTTCGCTGCATCGATGCATACTGCTCCTCTGAAAATGTATTGAATGGTCTAGCCACCTGTAAGTGTATCTCATTCCACAAGTAGTATTATAGGAACTTTAAATATTTGGCCATTTTTATTAGTGCATTCCATAAGTAAAACCACCTACTCGCTATCGCTTTATGTTAACACCGTCCCTAGCAAGTTTAACTAGTTTGAATAACATAAACAGTATATCACTGTGTCACATGACACACGCATTTAGGTAGACCTGATTCATATATTTTGGTAATTGTGCTCTGTTGTTCCATGCTCTCTGTTTTCGTTTTAATTTCTCTAGTTATAGATAATTATCATTAATTCGATCTGGCACAGGAAATGACCTTAATATAACACTGTTCATAAATCAACAGGCTGTCCATTTAAGAAATATTAAAAATTCCCGGCTGATGCATTGGATCGCTGTAATACATGTACTACTTAAACAACTACTGAACTAGTATACTTAAAACTATGTCATATCATATGTTTGTTCTGTATATCTAGTGTTACTATTTATATCAATTTGATCATGTCTGTAAACTGGCGTGAATTCTGTAATTATTATTATTATGCCAAAACTCCATGGATGAGTGAATTTCGCGCCAAAATCCAAGATCTATTATCTTATACCTGATTGGCTCGTTCATAAATAATAGTTTCATCGATTTATGATATACATTTGAACAGGTAACTTAATAGCAACAGAACGAAGCTCAAACATTGACCTTCTAGAACGAAGTAGATATCTATTAAAAAAACACAATAACTTTTGAAATCTCAAAGAACGGCTTGTTTTTCTTCTTAGCTTTCTGGTTGTCATTTAATTCGTGGAAGAGCAAATTCTATATTATCACAATGAGTTTTGTGGAGATTTTTGGAAATTTCACAGGTTGAAATCATGGATGCGCACTGCTGAGGTGTCCTATACTCGGACGAAACGGCCGTCCAGTGCTTCCAGGTTTTCCATGGTGGTCTAGCTTCAATTGACTCATGATTTCAACCTGTGAAATTCTATATTGTTTGATGTGTAAGCGAGAATGATAATGATCGGTTGTCTGCTTAATCATACATGTAGATAGTCTGACTGGTGTGTCAGATGAGTTATATTCCGTTATCCTTATTATCATTATTACTCACTTATCATTGATTGTTCATTGTTGTTGGATTGTGTCGGGTTGTTGATGTGAAAATACATTTACATTATTCTTCGTTAATTTTAAGTAGTTATTAAATATGTCAGGACGGTCTACGGGTGAACTCGAGGAAGCTGTAAGAAGCTGAGAAAGAGCTGAAGATATTCTATCTAATCATCTTTTGAAAGAATATTCTATAATCTCTACGTGCAGCTTCCCGATTGGACAATGCTAATAACCCCTGTGCAAGGATTGGATAGATATAATGATGATTTCTTTTTTACTAAAAACTATAAATACTTGACAGTTTTGTACTATAATTGATACTGTCTAGAATAACATTCCTTTCACTTGTCTTCTGTCTTCTCAATTGCGACTTGGAAGGGTTCTAGCGTTCAAGTGTTCAAGTTATACGCGTTATATCAGAATATAAGCTCTAGATATAACAAAATAACTCCCTTAGTGAGTTAATATACATTGGAATCTTAACATGAGTTTAGAAAGGTTTCTTGGTTTTTACTGATTCCTGCTATTTTTAGTACAAACTAGTTGTATGAATACCAGCCAGGGGAGTATGTAGATAATATATTGGGTAGACTATTGAAACTATTAATTGTACTCATTTAGTAACATAACATAGAATCTTTTTTACAATCAGTGATACTACTATTTGTTATATTTTAGCCCGACCGTTGTTGCTACCTTGAAGTGGTGGTCGGGCTTGTCTACCGTGATGAACCAATCGAGCTATACTGGCTAAAACAACCGTTCCTGAAGGTCCTACTATGTCAGACAGGTTGGTTGAAGAATAGTAAGACTAAAAGCAACAAACCCAAGGTCTGAAGGCGAAGTCGTACTGCTGACTGCACAGAGGTGTGACAGCAGTAAGATGTTTCCTTCAGACAACCAAGCATAGCAGCGATGCTGCCTTTCCACAAGAAGGGGTGAGGTTGGAAAAGGTCGACCTTAAAAATGCACATTTCGCAATATCCCACAGATACCCGTCTCCAGCGGTTAGGTCTCAACAAGTACGGAGCTAACACAAAAATCAGTTACATAAAGGTCGTATGTGACCGATCTCAAGCAGTTGTCCCTTGGACACTGCGGTCACGCTCTCAGATCACTAAAACTGACTGACTGATTAGATCTAAGCGAAGATTAAATTACGAGTAACTTCTAAGACCTTTTAATGGACTAATATTATCTATATATTCCTATTGTATAACTGCCAGTAACCAGATTATGTATATTCATATTTCTCTTATTATAAGCTTCATTTTGACCTATAGACTATTTCAATGATACGACTTACTATTTTTAAGTTATACACAGTTTAGTAATTACAGTCTCCCACATTTACAGCCATTTTCTGACTTGATATTGTATAAATGTTATTTCCTATTTTATGGTATGATGTAGTCTGTTTGGCTGGTATATAAACCAAGAATGTATGATATAAATGATTCGAATAGTGGAAGCTAATACTAGTGTTCTGAACTCAACTGGACGGGCTAGGCAAGCAAAGGACTAATAAGGACGCTAGGCTGGTCAGACCGATCGAGCCTCGTTAGTTTAGTACAGCACAAAAGTGAATAAGTCGTAATTCAATTGGTGAATAAATTACGGGATAACTAGACAAACTTAAAGTTACAACACTATTCTAATATTCATGTTGATCATTTCAACTTCACTGATATTTTGTAACATTTCTGGTCAGTGTACATGTTTTCTGATTTCTTATATTGTTTCTGACTGACTTATTGACTAATCTAATTCACCTAGTCAGTATACAGATTTTAACAATAATAAACACTTGAAGATAGTTGTTGCATTAAAATGATATAAGTTTGTAAAATCGTTGAAAGTCATTAAGTACCAGACACTTGCTTCTTTTTTTGACGGAGTTTTGTTCACTGAGTTGGATGGTTTGATTGTGAAACTTTCATCGTTCTTCTGAACAACATCATATGTATAAACTTCATGTAAAAGTGAATTGTTCGAATTTCTCCACATATGATTCACAGCTTGTTTTGTACACCTCTACCTGAATTCTGTGTTGATGATATAGTTCAGAAGAATGATAAAAAGCTCCATGACGAAACCATCCAGTTCAGAGACGAAAAAAATTTCATCCAAATCATTCATCTAAGCGACAAATCTTCTCCATTTGCTTCTTTCTACTATAATATTCAGATATTAGAATCTAATTTATTAATCTACTTACTGTTAAAAATTCATTGAAATCAATACTTCCACTAGCATCTTGATCAAATGTACGAAATAAATGTTCATAGAATAATCTAGCTTTACCATCTGGAAAAAATTGTGTATACATACTAAGAAATGTTGAACGATTCAATAGACCTGAAGGACAATCTTTCTGTAAAATAAATTGAAAAAGAAATAATAATTTAATATATAATTAAAGAGAGAAAATGTGTATAAATTTAAATAATACAATTTCGAGTTCCGGAAGTGAACATCAACTCTGAGATTCAGGTACGTCTAGCTGAAGAGTCCTGAATAGGATGAAACGTACATCCTGGATTCCATTACTAGTCATTATCCATCTTTGTTTATAATGCTTGTGATTTAAGGCAATAAGCACAGTATGCACATATATCAATAAGAGACTGATCAATTGTAGTCATAAACATCAATGAGAAGATCCAAGTAAAACAATGCCAAGTGAATTTAAACTTCACCCCATTGCACAACCAAGTTGTTATCAGGACTTAGTGGCTAATTAGACAGAGTAATGGCATTTGAGGCGAACAGTACTGCGCAAGAGTCCTGGATTGAACATCAATTCTGGGATTCATTTACATCCAGCTGACGAGTTCCGAATAGGATGAAACGCGCATCCTGTATTCCACTGCTAATCATTATCCTTCTTTGCTTATAATGCTTGTGATTTAAGGCAATATCGAGGCAATCTGTACAGTATGCACATATGTCAATAAGAGACTGATCGATTGTAGTCCTAAACATCAATGGGAAGATTCAAGTAAAACAATACCAAGTGAATTTAAAACCATTTAGAGATCATTTTAGAAAAAAATGGAGTTTTCTATCAACTGTATTAAATGAAGGTTATAATCCAGTGTAAGGAATTAGAATTATGATTTACAGTTGATGATTAGAGTTAGGAATTACATTTGGTGTTTGCATCACGATTTGACATCAGTTACAGTGTGAAAACTCTATTTAGCCAAATGGATATGTGAATTTCGCGCCAAAATCCACGACCTATTATCTTATACGTGATTGGTTCGTCTATAAATTATAGTCTCATCGAATCAACAAGTAGATACCTTCTACAAATGAATCACATGGATTTATTGTTAATTTACTGTAATTTTTAGGGTATAAAAAATACTATTTGATGAATTTTACACTAAGAATGTACAAATAAATTTATCAACTATACAGTTTTCATATGTCTGATGAGGATAACTGATTGTCACTAAGTTAATTAATAATCAAGCTAAGATGACTGCTGACATGTTTAATTCTCTAGTTTAGTTTGTATTACTTACGTCTGTCAGCCCTCGAAAAGGAGCATAGGCTGACTATCAGCATTCTCCATCCAACTCTATCCTGGACAATTCTTTCCAGTTATTATTCATTTTTTTCATATCTGTTTCCAATTTTTGACTCAGGGTGGTTCTGTGTCTTCCACCTCTCCGTTTCCCTTCAGGATTCCAAGTTAGGGATTGTTTCATGATGCAGTTTATTGAGTTTCTCAATGTATGTCTTATCCACTCCCAACGTCTTTTCATAATTTCCTCTTCATTTGGACGTTAGTTTGTTTTCTCCCAAAGTAGATCGTTGCTGATGGTATCCGATCAACGGACATTGAGTATCTTGTGTAGATAATTGTTTATGAATACTTTTACGTTTTTGATGATAGTTGTGGTAGTTCACTAAATTTCAGCACCATACAGTAGAACTGTCTGGATGTTTGTATGAAAAATTCAGAATTTTCTGTTGGTTGATAGTTGTTTTGAGTTCCATATGTTCGTCAACTGTAAGAATGCGGCCCTTACTTTGCCAATCTCTGACTTCACATCTATATCAGATCCTCCTTGTTCATCGATGATGCTTTCCAGGTACGTGAATATTTCCACCTCTTCCAGAGCTTCACTGCAAAGTGTGATTGTTTTGGTGTTCTCCGTGTTGTGTTTGAGGATTTTGCTTTTTCCCTTGTGTATGTTGAGGCCTATTGATGCAGAGGTTTCTGGTACACTAGTTGTCTTCAGCTGCATTTGTTGGCGTGTACAAGACAGAAGAGATAGGTCATCTGCAAAGTTCAAATCGTCTAGTTGCATCCAAACTGTCCATTGTATTCTGTGCTTTGGAAGTCTTCATAGTCCAGTTGGTTACCAGAAGAAAAAGGAAGGACGATGTACTCAATTTTGATAGATATACTTTAGATATGTGATGGATGGCGATGTTACCGCATAGTTTTGACCAAATACTTGAATTTGAATCACATTTAGAAAGTATCAAAACAACTGATTAAAAGTTAGGTAAAGTTTTGTTCTCTGAGCTAGATGGCTTGGTCGTAGAGAGTAAACAGACTTACCTGACTCCGGTTCTCACTTGGAATGTGTCTGTCATCTGTCATGCATACACGACTCTACAGTGTAGTCTGTCGCATGAATTCCCGATGATGTTGAAAATTTTCTCAGGCACTCCATAATGTCAAAGAAAGTTCCATAACGTTCACTTATCCACGCTGTCAAACGCCTTCTCATAATCAATGAAGTTGATTTATAGTGACGAGTTTCATTCATACATATATATAATACTCGGACTTTATCGTAAAATAAAGAATAAGATGTCAGTTGAATTGAAGTGAAGACTATAAGAACATATCCAAACTTTAATCAATATTTAAATATAGTCATTGGCTAAGTATTCCTTCAAGGAGATCATTTATCAAATGACTTTAAATCAAACTCATTTCTATTTATCAATAAGGCGATTTGTGAAGATTATAGTATTTTCACAGTTGAAATCACGATTCAATCTATGCTAGACCAACATTGAAAACCTGAAAGCACTACAAGACTGTTTCATGCTAGTATGAGACTCCTGGTGATTTCAACTATGAAATTTTTACAAATCTCCATATAATTAAGAATCATGTTCTCAATATTAACTAGCTTCAAGATGGAACTCCGGGAGTTCTAATGAGAAGCCATGACTAGCGTAACCCAATCCGTATCGGTTATAAGACCCTTCAGTACCGTTGGATACCACCTCCATGACTTAGAGAATAAGCATTTGCGCACGAAGCTCCGAAGCTCCCTAGTTCAAATTCCGCTTTCAGAATCATCGATTCCTACTGCTGAGTAATTTCAAACTATGACGAACTAGTCGTTCAGTTCTTACAAGTTTTCAATAATGGTCTAGCTTAGATCAACTCTTGATTTTCAATGAAATTATTTATAATATTCATTAAGTATTTTACTATCCAATACTTTTGGCTTTTTTCTCTTTGATGCGATTAACATTTGAATTCATGTGTCCAGAGTTATTTGGCATTGTCGATTATTAACAATTCAATGAAGTATGACCGTATATATATTGAATAAGAATTGAAAAAACAACAACAACAACAACATACCAAGGGTAATAAAAATCTCTAATGTAAACTAATGTTTTAATAGAGAATACTTAAGTAATAAAATGAATAGGAATGTTGGATGAAACCCCTAGATACAAAACACTCTAATGAACATTGTGAATATTAGATTATTACGTCATAATAGTAAACTATTTATCCTAACTAACATTAATACATAATGAAAAATTATAAACAAATAAGTGAATGTTTCAGTTTGAAAGAAAAAACAAACAATAAAGATCACTTAATTGTATCATAATAAAATGTTCAAATAATTATTAATGTAAAGCAATTAGCCCATATTATAAATACATAGATAGATAGATGTATGGATAGATAGATAGATAGATAGATAGATAGATAGATAGATAGATAGATAAATGTGTGGATAGATAGATGTGTGGATAGATAGATAGATAGATAGATGTGTGGATAGATAGATAGATAGATAGATAGATAGATAGATGTGTGGATAGATAGATAGATAGATGTGTGGATAGATAGATAGATAGATAGATAGATAGATGTGTGGATAGATAGATAGATAGATAGATGTGTGGATAGATAGATAGATAGATAGATAGATAGATAGATAGATAGATAGATGTGTGGATAGATAGATAGATAGATGTGTGGATAGATAGATAGATAGATAGATAGATAGATGTGTGGATAGATAGATAGATAGATAGATAGATAGATAGATAGATAGATAGATAGATAGATAGATAGATAGATAGATAGATAGATAGATAGATAGTTAGATAGATAAGTAGATAGATAGATAGATAGATAGATAGATAGCTCCCCAAATGCCCTAGTAAGGCCGAGAGCGGGGAGAGTCCGCTCTCCCTCTCGAAGTGTTCTGACATGGCCATGAGTATATAGCTTCTGCGAGGGAAGTCCTACTCACTGCTTTCTCATGGTGGGGGTGTTGTTTACGAAAATGAGAGGACGAAAAGCGAATCTTCGGCGCTTTAACCGGATTCCAAACCAATGGTGCATATGGGCTCCAGTACCCTGCGGGAACAAATGGTGTATGAACCAATTGTTGGTCACCGGCTTTCATGGGACTTCATCTCCTTACGATGCTCCACTGCCTTGTGGATCAGACCTTCAGGTCAAAGGCTCGGAGTATGGCTTCCTAAGTAAACCACCTGCTTTGGTTTGGGCACCCGGGCAGTATCCTAGCCCTCACACATATCGAATGAGATCTGTGTGGCGCATATTTACTCGGTGCCTCCTTGTACCAATATCTATGTGTTAACATAAATAATAGATAGATAGATAGATAGATAGATAAATCGGTTGGTAGGTAGGTAAAATTCAGAGGCAATGAATGAAGGATAGTTAGATTTTGAAATGCCATAAAATGTTAGATAGAGTAGAATTTCGGTTCATCGTACATCTCATTACCGGTAGCATTTTATTCTAATTCTAGAAAAGTAAAAAATCAATTAATTTAGAGTCTAGTAGAAGCACCTACTAATCAACTACATGATACTCTCTATACCTTGTATAGTGGAAAATAACTCGTTAAAACAATATATATATATATATATTTTAACTTCTCAAATGAATCATTATTAACTATTCTCTTCTATTGATACATTCAAAGTTGTATTTGATTAGTCTCTCTTCGTTTATGATTGCCTTCTATGGGATAGTTATGTATGTGAATATTGAAGAGTGTTAATTAGGACGAAATTCACCCCTTTGACTTCATTGCTAGCTATTATTTAAGAACGTGAATTGGAATTAGTCTCATATTATGAAGTGATATCAATTGAATTACCATTGAATAGTTCAGAGATTTATATTCATCTTAATTTTAAGATGACAATTTCCATAGCTCTAAATGACTAGTTGTAAATAACAAGCTCAATCATGTTAGAAGTACATCAGTCTTCGTTTATGATGTCCAGTAATATATAATGGGCTATGTATAATGGGATATAAAAAGTCATTACCTTCTGACTTAATGGTCTTGAGGTTCCAAGAAATGTCAAAGTTTGTTTAATGATCCTCAGCTTAGATTGATGCATGCGTAAATCAGATCCTACACTAATAATGACTGAATGAGTATTAAAGAGTAATCCATCAATGATGTAAGTATTTCATAAAATTGTTCAGTAATTTTTTTAAAGGAGTTTTAAGGTCGTGGATGGGTACTATTGAGGAGCCCAACACTGGGACAGTGATTACTGTTTTACACTAGTTGTCGATCCAAGATCATTCCGTAATAAGAAATACGAAACTTGAGAGTTAACTTTAAGTGAACCATAAAAAAGGTGAATTGATTGTTATAGGGAGATTTTCATTTTTTTGTCTTACAGGAACAGATAATACGCCTCTGAACTAAGGAATACTTCAAGTCTATTGGGTTGTTTTCATCTATTTGATTACCGAATCTTTATACGGGTGCTTTCATAGATTTCATACATCAAGTTTAACATATTCTTGTGAGAAATATTAGTGCTACTTACAATGAATAAGATTAGGATTTAAACGTTAGAAATAGTGGATTATCTTACTGAATTCATTCACAAAGTATTTAATACTAGTCTGTTGAAGTTTTTTATAAGTGTAAGTAATCGATATTCATCAATTTGGTTCGCTTAAAATCCTGAAAGTACTGGGTTCTAGTCCCACGTACGAAACCGTGGATGAGTACTGCTGAGGAGTCACATTCTATGACGAAATGACCATCGCGTGCTTCCACGCTTCCAACGGTGGTCTAATATTGTATATAAACTCCGTATGTTTGAAATAAATGATTCATATTGCAGAGGCTGAGATTAGTGTTCTGAACTCAACTGGCTGGGCTAGATAGGAAGCGAAACCAATCAGGACTCTAAACTGCTTGCACGTGTTTCATGTGTCACCAGTTCGGTTGATAATTCGCTGCTCTCTGATTGATGGTATCGTTGTGTTACCTAATATACAGGGCACACAGGTTCACAAGTTATAACATATTACACCATTGAGTTAACTACTTCTATGAATCCAGTGTTCATCTCTATTGTGCTAATGAGCTATAGCAACTTGGACCGATACATATTCGTGCTTGGTCCTACATGGTAACTGACTGATTTTACACTAATAATAGTATAAAACATCTGATAGATAGATACATAGATACATAGATAGATACAGATATATAAAATGAATGAAATAAACAACTTACAATGAATCCTTTATACCATTTTTTAATTTGTCCTTCAGTAAAATGTGTTTTCGCTGAAAGTTTTTTTAATTCTGTTTTATTAATTCGTTTATTTGAATGAATACCACCCATTTGTTTTATATTTAAGAATATAGTTTAATACATATATAAAAGTATGATATAATACTTTCCCAAAAATAATCACTTTCTTTATTTTCTTTGTTTTTTTCTTTTTTTTGTTTTCTCTTTTTTGTTTTCTTCTCTTTTTTTGGTTTTTAATTTCTTTAAATCAATTTACAATCGTTTCTGTTGAATAAAATTGTCTAATAATCCATTGAAACATTGATCATCAGAGATAATACACTTTGAATACCATTACTACTATGACAACAACAACAACAACAACTAAGACTACGACTACTAATACAACTTCTACTACTATCACTACTACTGTTATCACAAATGTTATAAGAAGTAAGTAGTATATTTAATTGTAATGATCAAATTAAAAAGATTTTCTCTTCGATGAATTTTGGTTGTTTTTTCGCAAATACTTTTGGATAGCTTAGAATATAAGGTCAATTGTGCACGTATATATATATACAGTATTTATATTCGTTCATGATTATTCTATAACCAATATGAATGAGACATAAGGGATTTATGTATCCTGATAGGTTATTTTCCTATTTTAGACGCCAGGTCAGTTGTATGATGTCCAATATACATGTGATTGAATTCAATATTTTCAAGCCTACGCTATATATATAATATATATATATAATATATATATATATATATATATATATATATATATATATATATATATAAGTTGTACCTACTAATCAATTTTATTATCTTACCGTAAATGTGTCAGTAGTGCCAATGTGTGGGTGGTCATCTTCACACGGGCATTCATGTGACCTTGAAGTAAAATTCAAGGTTAAAATATCCCTTCCTGAATTATTAATATGATTGAATCCATATATTTATTATGTTAATAAACAGGAGTTACTATTCATTAATATTTCATATTACTTACTTACTTACGCCTGTTACTCCTAATGGAGCATAGGCCGCCGACCAGCATTCTCCAACTCACTCTGTCCTGAGCCTTCTTTTCTAGTTCCATCCAATTCTTGTTCATCTTTCTCATGTCTATCTCCATTTCTCGGCGTATTGTGTTCTTTGGTCTTCCTCTTCGTTGCTTCAGCCTTGATGTTGTAACGCGTGTGGGAGACTGCAGGTTATGCTAGACAGCGTTTATATCGATCGATTACAGTAGACACGGAAAACACGTATGGACGACCTAGTGCCCTGATTGGTCCCGCTTCGCAGTCTGTCCTAGCCAGTTGAGTCAAGAACGCAAGTCACAGCCTCTGAGTTATGAATCATTGTATTTCAAACATACTCTATTTATATACCAAGCAAACAACCCACATCGTACCATAAAATAGGAAACAACATTTGTACAATATTTAACAAGTGAAATAAACATCGACCAATAAGAAATGTACATTTAAGGTCCAAGGACACCATAGACTTAACACGATAATTATTGGTATATTTTTCCGACTATCCTAACACCTCCCCTTTTTTGAAAGATCCGGAGTTAATATCTGGACTTTAAAATTTTCTGCGTCCGTCCTCCCCCGCGAAATAACGTTGGGTCCTCATATACCCAAGCAACAATCAGTCTGATTCTATTTAAAGCATATTTCGCGCATTGAGTAGAGGGTTCACTAAAACTGACTAGATGATAAGGATTAGCGACACCAGACATGACGTCATTAAGGTTTGATTTTTGTGCAACATATTCTTCAGACCTCTTCAAAATGCGATCACTGGATAATAGGTCACTAAAACAAACAGCATCTTTGAAATTCATATTAGATTTCTGACCATCATTTGATGCACGGGAAACATTTTCTGGCACGAGAGGTTCTTCTTGTAAGCTGGATACCTCACATGTTTCAGGCACAGTGGGATTTGAACCCACAACAGGGCATGTTTCTGGATTGGACAATTCTGGATCTCTGGACGGATCATGCGCGACTGCCACGTTTGCATTACTGATCATAAGGGATTCATAGAGGCTTTTGTTTTCATCTTCATATGTCCTGCAGTCATTCTCGAGTTCAGTATGCAGGTGAGAAAATAGTTCGTCAACCTCTTTCACATCTCCGAAACACGGGAGATTTAGCAGTCGCGTGCGCATATAGTCCAAAACTTTCAACTGGCTCTCTTTGAAACGATCTAGTAGTATCTGCAATTGATCGGAGGGGATAGTCATTTTCTGAATCAGCAGAGTAATGAGAAATACTGTAATCAACTAACAACCAATGACTCCCAAGGACGCCGACGAAAAATCTGGATACTGATTGGTCAGAACAATTATACTGAATCTCGTCCAATTACAGGGTTCAAAATTCTCTCTACCCCGTCGCCAATTGTTGTAACGCGTGTGGGAGACTGCAGGTTATGCTAGACAGCGTTTATATCGATCGATTACAGTAGACACGGAAAACACGTATGGACGACCTTGTGCCCTGATTGGTCCCGCTTCGCAGTCTGTCCTAGCCAGTTGAGTCAAGAACGCAAGTCACAGCCTCTGAGTTATGAATCATTGTATTTCAAACATACTCTATTTATATACCAAGCAAACAACCCACATCGTACCATAAAATAGGAAACAACATTTGTACAATATTTAACAAGTGAAATAAACATCGACCAATAAGAAATGTACATTTAAGGTCCAAGGACACCATAGACTTAACACGATAATTATTGGTATATTTTTCCGACTATCCTAACACTTGAGGATTCCATGTGAGGGCTTGTCTTGTGACGCAGTTGGGTGCTTTCCTCAATGTGTGTCCTATCCACTTCCACCACTTCTTCCTGATTTCTTCGTCCGCTGGGTTCTGGTTTGTTCTATCCAACAGTAGGTTGTTGCTGATGATAGTGTCTAGCCGACGGATTCGAAATATTTTGCGTAGACAACTGTTAATAAACACCTGTATCTTCTGTATGATGGCTTTCGTAGTTCTCCAGGTTTCTGCCCCATACAGTAGAACTGTCTTGACATTTGTATTGAAAATCCTGACGTTGGTGTTGGTTGACAGTTCCTTTGAGTTCCAGATGTTCCTCAGTTGTAAATATGCTGCTCTTGCTTTACCGATCCGCGCCTTCACATCTGCATCAGATCCACTATGTTCATCAATGATGCTGCCCAAATACGTAAAGGTTTTTACATCTTCCAAATCTTCGCCGTCAATTGTGATTGGATTGGTGCATTCTGTGTTGTATCGGAGAATCCTGCTTTTCCCTTTGTGTATATTGAGATCTACTGCTGCTGAGGCTGCTACCACACTGTTCGTCTTCTCCTGCATCTGTTGTTGCGTTTGGGATAGAAGGGCTAGATCATCTGCGAAGTCTAGATCGTCCAACTGCATCCTAGATGTCCATTGTATCCCGTGCTTCCCCCAGATATTGACGTCTTCATGATCCAGTCGATCACCAGGAGAAAGAGAAAGTGTGAGATTAAGCAACCTTGCCTGACACCGGTCTTCACTTCGAACGACTTTGTCAACTGCCCTCCATGCACGATTTTGAAGTGTAATCCACCATGTGAACTCTGTATGATATTGACTATCTTCTGAGGCACGCCGTAGTGTCGTAGAAGCTTCCATAGTGTTGTCCTGTCCACGCTGTCAAATGCTTTTTCGTAGTCAATGAAGTTGATGTAGAGTGATGAATTCCATTCAATTGATTGTTCCGCAATGATCCGTAGAGTTCCGATTTGGTCTGTACACGATCTATCCTTACGGAATCCTGCCTGTTGGTCACGAAGTTGGGTGTCTACGGAGTCCTTCATCCTGTTTAACAATACCCTGTTGAAGACTTTTCTTGGTATTGAGAGAAGAGTGATGCCCCTGTAGTTATCACATTTGATGAGATCGCCTTTCTTCGGTATTTTGATCAGGAGTCCTTCTTTCCAGTCTGGTGGTACTTGTTCCTCATCCCAAATCTTAGTGAAGAGAATGTGGATTATCCTTGCAGTTGCCGCTACGTCTGCTTTTAGTGCCTCTGCTGGAATGTTGTCCGGTCCTGCTGCTTTGCCACTCTTGATTTGTCTGGTGGCCATGCTGATCTCTTCAATTGTTGGTGGGCCAACATTGATTGAGAGGTCCGTGGGTGCTGCTTCGATGTTGGGTGGGTTCAGTGGAGCTGGTCGATTCAAGAGTTTTTGAAGTGTTCCACCCATCTGTTTTGTTGCTCTTCAATGTTGGTGATTACCTCGCCTTCCTTGCTTTTCACTGGTCGTTCTGGTTTGCGGCGATTTCCAGAGAGTTTCTTTGTCGTGTCATACAGTCCTCTCATGTTTCCTTCTCTTGCAGCCTTTTCCGCCGTCGTTGCTAAATCTTCCACATATTAACGTTTGTCGGTTCTGATGCTCCTCTTCACTTGTTTGTTTACTTCTGTGTATTCAGCTTGTGCCTTGGCTTTTTCTGCTCTTGTTCGACTGGTATTGATTTCTGCTTTCTTGTTCCTCCTTTCTTGAATCTTATCCAGTGTATCAACAGTGATCCATTCCTTGTGGTGGTGCTTCTTGTGACACTCTTATCTCTCACTTGATTTTGATAAACGGTTTTATTTGTTATTATTTTCCATACTCTTTCTTTGTTTATTTTTCTTCACCTCCTCCCACTCTTTTCTTTCCTCAAATATACGCTTCACGGTCCAGGTATCTGAACACTTCTGGTTACGTAATATTATCATTTTATTATGAATGTGATTCCATTGTCTATATTTCTCTAATCAATGACCTATTTCCCATTATGTAACATTAATTCAAGCCTTTATTGTTCTTATCACAAATTGTACAGTTGTAACCACACTGTCAAGTTGTACTTTTCATTTATTTATGTAATCTATCCCACTGTTATCATCATTGACTCATAAACTGCCTTCATTGGTTTAATTCAATTCGTAGGTGCATATAGAAAAATATCACTGTATATTAGAGTATAGTCTGATGAAGATCTAATCTTGTTCTAAATTACAATATGGGAATTTTTCAAATTATGAATGAAACCTACAAATTAGCCAGTAGGCCGATAGTTTTT